ACAACTCTCACACATCATTTGCTATTTTGGTATTGGCTTTGACCATTTCATCTCTGTTAAATCTATTTTTAAATTCTAGGATTCTTGATTTGCAGTCTAAATTAATTATTGCGGTAGATGTTGCCAAAGGCATGGAGTACCTTCACAACCTGACACAGCCTATTATACATCGTGACTTGAACAGGTATTTTTTTTTTCTAAATAATGAACTCAGAAGGGTATAATTAACTGGGAATTTTAGACAGATTTCAGTGAAGATAATTTCAGACTTGTTGCAGATCAGGTACTCTGTGGGTAGGAGGACAGGCTACCATAAACTTAGGCAGTAGAAAGTTTTGTCATTGTCTTTTACAGGAGTAGAAAGCTATATAACTGCTTCTCAGGGATCTTTTAAATCTATGAAGAATGTTCACTCATATGGTAATATCTGTAAGATGCACCAGCTAACTAGTTCTCAGGTCAGTAAGGTCAGATCAAGCGTTGAGCTAAATGGCTATTAAAAAATGATATGTCTCCTATAAAGTGAGGTGTTGGAGTAGCTCCTGATATAAAATTATCTGAAACATTACATTGTGCTACCATTTTTGTATTTTTATATTAGTAATTCAGCTTAACCACAGTTTATTTACCTAGTTTTCAGGTGAAGAGGATTTTATGTGAAATAAATATGAAACCAGAGTGTTCCAGTGGTGGAACCCCAAGGGATCTCAAAACTTTTCTTAAATGGTGAAAACTTTCTCTACGTATAGTATAGGAAAGGACGATATACAAAATGGAGCAGTGTTGGGTAAAGGTAAAGTGGGGTGTAGAAAACTCTATTTACTTCCCATTTCCCAGTGCTAGGGAGAGATTCTTGTGCCACCTCTGTAGAAGCCCAAAGGTGCTATGTGGAATAGTTGGACAACAACTGATTTAGTTTAGGAAACAAGTCAGATGATTCCACATCAGCCACATTCATTTTATGATAATCAACTCAGTTCACACAGATTCTGTATATAGTCCTTTATAAAAACTTTACAGTTCTGAAGCTGCTAAATATTAATTACTCTGATGACATATAAGCCTGGTCTGGAAAGATGGGGAGTTTGGAAGAGCATACTATAGGCTTAGGGAAGACATTAATAAAATACACAGAGATTAGAAAGTTAAAGGTATATATAGGAATTATAGTTTCATTTTAGTGTACAAAGTGCATCAATGTATGTAATGTGTATAATGTATGAAGTAGACAATTATTAAAAAGTATAGAAAAATAGAACAAGAGCACAGACACCAGTGAATGCTATTACTAAGGTATTTTAGACTTTTTTTCTGTAAGGAAACAATGAAGATATTTGAACTGAAAATCACAAATTTGGAGCTATATTATTGAAAGATTAATCCACACCTGGTAAAAATATCAACTTGAAGGGAAAGTCAAGAAACTATTGAGGCATTTGTGGCAGTAATCTACATAAGAAGTAATGAAAAGCAGAATTTCACTAGTGGCAGTGGAAATGAAAGGAAGAGACATGTCAACTTTAAATAGCAAAACACAGAGTTTACTCAAGCTCAGAGTTTGAGGATTATTACCCATGAGCACGAATTCAAGTTGTCCTGAATACACACTCCACTTAGCAGCAGTTAGAAGTTAGTTTTTAAGAAAAAAAGCAGTTTTTAAGTTGTTTACCAAAAATTTACATTAAAATAATATAAGCTTTTGATTGGCTATGCCTTGTTTTTTAATCAAAAATTATAGGAACATGAAGAAAATGGATAACATGGCTAGTCAGGAACAAAATGCCTTTACACTATTGCCCCGAGGGAATGGGGGTTGGGGACATGACTAAAATCCCATACTCATGTCTCTCTGGGCCTGATACATTTTGTGTTGCTCATATAGCTCAGACTGCTCTGAGCTATTTTTCTCTTCTCAGATAGATGTGAAAGATAAGAGAGATAAATCAGATATGTGAGTGGTAGAATCCTAGGTGTTAAAAGTAAACATATATAGGTCTCAATCTATTTATAATTATTTACTAGTTTTTACATAAAAGTAATTTCTTAATTCTTAGCTATTAGTTCTTTACCTTTCTTAATTTCAAAACAAACATTTATGTTAACATTTTTTCTTTGAGTTTCAGTAGCTATTTCAGAAACAGATTTAGATGATAAATTAGCATAACATAAAACTGATGATTTTGAGTTTTAAGAGTATTATCTTTCCATCTCAAATATTTTTGCACATTGTATTAAAACAAATGAGTAAATTGCAATAAGTAATCATTGCAAGTTTTCTCTAGCTGTAACTCTTCATTTGTGGGGCCATTATATATTCTGTTGCCCTGTAAGTTATGTGCAAGTTGTTACCACCAGTTATTGGGCAGAACCAAAAATATAAATGTTGATTAAAATAAAAGCAGAACATTTACTATATAGCTAATATAGGTTTATATCTACAATTGTTGCTGCCTCTAATCTGACCTAAATGCTTAATTGCATGAAAAATTTTAAAATTTTATGAAATACTGTTTTGTAGGTGCCTTCATTATGATAGAGTCCCAAACTATTGTATCAATTATTTGTAGACTATTTTCTATCAATCTTTAACCTGGTAGCAACAGCAAAACATTGGTTTTCAGATGCATGCATATGTAGCACTGTACATGGCTCAGAAGAGCCTGGGTCCTTTCCCACAGAGAGCTTACTGTATTACTTGGCTATATAAGGCATATGCCCAGAAAGCAACTAAAGTACCACTTTATATAGAAAATAATTAAGGATCAAAATCATTAAAAAGCAACTTTCAGAGGATTTCAGGTAAGTCAAAGATAAAAGTAGAATAGAATGCTTCTTAGAGGATATGGAGCTAAAAGTAGCGTTTGAAGAACAGGCATTTATCTTTTCTCAGGCTTTTCACAGCATACTAACCTCTGCTTTCTCATAGTGCTTAGAAGTCTCATGGAAAGAGGTAGAAAGATGCACATCAGAGAGTGGGAAACTCGTACACTTATTGCATTTGTATCAACATGGTCTGTTTATATTTTCATATTCCCCATTAGCCTGGGCAAGTCAGGGTTTCAGGGTCAGAGACTGCTCTCTTCATCTCACATTTTCTGAACTAAGCATTGCGTCTTACACAGATAAAATGTATAATTAATATTTTTTAACTGAACCAAATTATTGTGGTGTTTCTTTGAATGTCACTTTAAGAAGCAATGGCCTTGTTGGTATAAGTATGACTGCTTGCATATAGTATCCAACTTGCCCAATACCTTTTATAATTTTAAAGGAAAAAGGATATTTGAGCCCACAGGATGGGACACTTTTATATTAAAGTTTGTGGTTGTTGAAATTATTTGAGTGAAAAGAAAGAACTCTACTTTTCCCATGGCAAGCAAAGACAACTGAGGCTTTTACCACCCAGTTCAGAAAGTTAATTTTGATCTTCAGTAGATGTCCCTTGGTATATGCAGGGGATTGGTTCTGAGGCCTCTCAAGAATAACAAAGTCTGAGGATGCTCAAGTCCCTGGTATTAATCACTGTAGCATTTGCATATTACATAGGCTCCCTTACGTAGGCTCCCCGTACTTTAAATCATTGCTAGATGACCTATAATATCTAGTACAATGTAAATACTGTGTACATAGTTGTTGCAGTGTATTGTCTAGAGAATAATGATGAAGGAAAAAGAGTCTATATGTCTTTAGTACAGAGACAATCTTTTAAAAAATTTTTTGACCCATGGTTAGTTGAATCCACAGACGTGGAACCTATGAATTTAGAGGGCCAACTATATATTCTAAGGAGAATCTCAAGGAAGGAGTAAAAAGTAGTTATTTTCAGTGAAAATGATGAGAATGATAGTATCTATTATTTATTTGTCACAGTGTGAAAGGAGCTTTGCTAAGCTCTTGTCATGCTTCCATTTATCTACGCAACTCTATGGGATAGTTATTATTATCTCCATTTTACAGATAAGAAAACTGACTTAAAAAAAAGAGACTAAGCCTGAAGTTTGTAGTGTTCTATATGTTCTACTTTAACAACAACAACAACAACACAAAATCATGTCAGAAGAGAGAGAAAGAGCATACTGATGATATTGAATAGGCATCAGCAATATTTATCAACCTTGCTTTCTGTACTTTAATCTTTTAAAAACTCAATTTCTTTGACCCAAACTATTTCTTATATCATCTTCTCATGCTTCTGAGTTCCTGCTTTATTTCTTCTTTCATACCTGATGTTCTGCTGGTGTGGAGCAGATATTGCAGAGAAGGCATGTAGATAGGTTTTGTTTGGCCTAGAGTGTTTAATACTTTTAAAGTGACCATAATTCAAGCAGGAATGTACCTCTCTAATTTGCTATAGCCCTAATCACCTACCAACTTATACTTAGCCTAATTTATACATTCATTTTGTGGCATTAGAGCTTGCTAGTCATTATTTATAGCTTAAAGGATTTAAAGCTTTTTACTTAATACTAGAAGCTGTGTGTGCTTTCTTGGAAAAGTATATTTTCCAAATTGTTTGACATTGAAACAGAAACATCACTGCAAACATATATGGATCAAATGTGTGGTATTCCCCTTAGATATAGTATTATATATGTTATATTAACATATATAAGTAAGGAATGAAATAGTGATACCTCCATAACAAAGTGGCCATGACATTCACATGAAATATATATATATGAAATTATTTTATAAATTGTGAAGTACTATATAAAATGCATTTTTTATTATTTTTATTTATTTATTTATTTTTGAAACAGAGTCTCACTCTGTTGCCAGGCGCCAGGCTGGAGTGCAGTGGCACAATCTTGGCTCACTGCAACCTCTGCCTCCCAGGTTCAATCAATTCTCCCACATCAGCCTCCTGAGTAGCTGGGACTACAGGCGCACGCCACCACACCTAGCTAATTTTTGTATTTTTTAGTAGAGATGGGGTTTCACCATGTTGGCCAGGATGGTCTTGATCTCTTGACCTCGTGATCCACCCGCCTGGGCCTCCCAAAGTGCTGGGATTACAGGCTTGAGCCACTGCGCCCGGCCCGTTTTTTATTATTCTTAACCACTCATGTGTTCCGTTATATATTCGGGATGGAAAAACACTCCACAATTAAAACCATCTTTGCAAAAATTATAGCTGAGAAAATTATGGCAGTGAAAGATCTGACTTGACTCCATTTTGCTTCTACCCTCCAAGCTGTACTTGTTCACTCCTGGGCATAGGCCACACTAACTTTGGGAGGAACTTAATTTATAGTCTAACCTTGAAACTAAGACAATAGCCCTTTCCCAAAACAAATCTGTTTCTTTCCTGGGGACTAGACTGCCTTCATAGGACTAACAAAGTAGCCACAGGATTAGAAATAATGGTCTAGGAATCACGTAGCTGGACTGCTGCAAGATTCTAAACCTCCCCAACTTGATTCTGGGGATAATATTGTTATTGTAAAATCTCAAATCAGTGCTTGAGATATTTTGCAGACACTGTACAGGATAGCTCAGCTGGTACTATGCAGACTGATAAACTGGGTCATCTGGAACTGACTCAGCACAAAGAGGACAACTGAGACACCCTATGATTTCATCTCCAATCCAACCAATCAGCATTCCTCACTTTCAGACCCCTACCCACCAAGTTTCCTTAAAAACCCCATCCCCCAGTTTTTGAGGAGACTGATTTGAATAATAATAACACTCCTCTCTCCCATACAGCTGGCTGTGCATGAATTAAACTCTTTCTCTATTGCAATTCCCCTGTCTTGATAAATCAAATTTATCTAGGCACTGGGCAAGGAAGACCCATTGAAGGGTTACAACAATATTCTAATACATAAAGAGATTTTTTTTTAATGTGATATAACTAATTAGTTTGGGGTCTAGATCTGAGAAGGACTCACTGTTTTTGACTGTCAGCTTATTCTGGTGGGTATAAAGGAAAATAATGAGTGATAATTTAAAAATAACCAACTTTCCAATGACAAATGACAGGTAATTTAGAAAGACAGAGCTTTTATGAGCTAAAAGAATCTTAATTTTGAAGATGACATTTAACTAAAATAGTGAAGATTTTAGGAAGTGCCAAAGAAAAATATTATTGTTAAAAAATTATAATAGTTTCTTTAATTGACACATGCATTTGCCTCTCAGTTGAATGCAAAATATAAAATTCCTTCACTTAAGAAAACACAGCAATTAAGTAAAATAAACAAATTGTCAATTTTCTAATTTTGTAGTCCTGGAATTCCTTATATTATAGAACCCCCCTCCCAGTTATTTCTTTAAGTTGTGACTTTGCTAATAAGTGCTTACACAGAAATAATTTTGCTTCCATTGAAAAATGTCATCTTCAGGAGTCTTCTGAATATCTATATGCAGACCAATTAACTGATTGCATTATAATACTTATGAAAAGTCCTGCAAGAGAACATGACTTTTGTGAAATCCCTGACAACCCTGTGTCTGTGATTCTCTAGTATAAAACCAGTCATCACAAGTGGCATTTTTAATTTTATCAATTATTTTTACTCATTTGCTCTTTAAAAATGTCAATTAATTAAATAATATAAAATGCTTATTGAATGAATGATATGATCTAGGGCCTTTGCTATGCCCTAGGTGAGAATGACATATCATAACACTTTGTCCAGCAGAGCTTAGAGCCTAAGAAAGCATTTACAACATTCCTGAAGAATCATTTGGAGGCCTTTAAAAAAAAATTCAAAGACATTGAAGGGACTGATTCAGAATGTCTTAAATTGGGCCTGAGAATCTATACTTTCAAACAAGACTACTAATTAATTCTTGTGATCTAGGAGAGGAAACATTGTTCTAGTGCAGTGGTTCTCAACTGTGGCTGCACAGTCTCTGAGAGAACTTTAAGAAAATCCTTATGCTGATTACATCAGAACCTCCAGGCTTGGGGCCCATGTATCACAATTTCAGAAATAGCACTTTAAGTTATTCCAATAACTCAAGGTTGAGAACTACATTTTAGTCTGATGTCAATTACTCCTCTTAATCATTTGCCATACAACTTCATTGTTCTCTGTTGCCAAAGTGAAGTGGGAATGTCAGGGAATCAAGTCACAATGTAACTCCAAATGTTTTCAAAATCATTAATCTAATGTCAGCTTAATCATTCATTTATTTATACATTTGTCTATCCACTTATTTAGTGATGAATGTCAAAGACAGAGAGCCACAGACTCTATGGTACCTATGGCACAGAATAGGTCCCAAGATTTGGCAGTTTTCAGGGAAGTTGTACTATACGAGGCTCCTCCAGAGCAAATGACTTATAATTTATGTATGGCACTAGAAAGCTCCTAGGAGTATAGAATCTTCACAGGTAGCTGAAACAGATATAAGAGTTTCAATACCAGACAACTACATTGCACATGGTTTATGTAGGTACTATATACCCATATAGTGCAGAATTATATGTATTAAATAGATATAAAGAGAAGGATGCATATATATGTGTACATATGCTATATTCTTCTAGGGTTCATAGCCTTGATTACCCACATGAACTGCAGTGTACACTGCAGTAGTCTAATATTAACACTTTGATTTCTGTTTTGGCTATCTGTATAGATTTTACACTCCTGGGAACTTGCTAATATCACCCATGAATTCTAATTTGCTCCAGAGGAGCCTAGCACAAATAACACGACTCCCATGGAAACTGCTAGATCTTTGAAACTTTCTATGCCATAGGTACCATGGGTCTGTGGATCTCTGTCTTTTGAATGCACTATTATATCAATGCACATATAAGTATACACATTTATACATAAATGCTCATATAAACATACACATTTCCGTATGTTTGTGTAATGTTTCCAGCCTTTTAAAACTAGAAGAAAGGCATCAGCTCTACAGAGGGTGAGTTCAGGGATGATTTTCAAATCTCCTCAGCATGAGAAATAATCACTACCATTGGAATACACAGAAGAAAATTTAAGTATAATATACAATGGATGCCTTAGGGATTAGGACTACCCGTGGTTCTGAAATGTTTATGCCCAAAATTGTAATCTGATTTCAGATTTTCAAGTTAATTTTTTTCTTAAAAAATGCAATCAGCTGCAATCAGACTCAATTTTATTACTGCTTTGAGTAATGAAAAAACTAAGCTATACAATTTATGAATATTTCTAATACGAAATTCAGGTTAGGGTAGTTTATCTGCTGTAACTATACAGTCCATAATGTATAATGGCTCCAATACAATTGAAATCTGCATCTTGATTGTGTGGATGAACAAGACGTTGAGGTTTTCCCTATCCATGAGGTTACTCCGGACCCATCTTAACCTGTGACTTCTAGGGTCTCCTTGGGGGTCATCCCAATTCAAGTGAGCATTAATGAGGCAAGAATATATAAGATGTGCATGACATGTTGTATGGGCCAGGCATTGGCATGAAACACATTTAAGGGTGGTGTCAGTTTAACTTTATGATATAAATATATCATTTCATCACTTCAGCTAATTCCCAGAGGCATTTACACAAATTATAATGACCAATGTGACTTGACAATGACTCTGAGGGCTTGGTATTGGGTGGTACAGGCAGCTCTATCTTGGTGGTGCCATATAAGGTTCTGGGAAATGTAGTCTACCTGTGTGCCCAGAACAAGAGGAAATGAGTTTTTGTGGTCAGCCAGAAGTCTGTGCTACATGGACCCTAGGAACACTGGCGATAACAGGTAATAGATGTTTGAGTAATGGTTATAATTGAGAAGGCTGATCTAGATTTGCATGAATCAGTTATACAAATGTAATGTTAGTTGCATACTAAATATTTTTAGTTTATGAATGCATTTTCACAACTTATGAACTAATACCAGTAATTGGGAAATGAATGAAAACTACTTAATAAAGCATGTTATATAGGAATTAATTTTGAAATAACTCTTCTAATTCACTTTTGTTAACTTAAAAACATGAGACTAGCTTTGGGAGTGTGGGGAGATGTATTAAAACATGGCTCAAGAGGGAAAACATGTAACTATATGATTATAATAATATGAAATAAGCTATATACATTTTAAAACATTAAGTGATAGTCCTGTGCACTATATGTCAGTAAACACACACACACACACACACACACACACACACACACACACACTTTTTTCTTTAGAAGTAAAAATTAAAAAGACAATGACCACTACATTTAGAGAACCTTGTACCACATCCCACAGAAGGGGCTCCTTAACTATTTAGTTGTACAAATTAATCCTGTTTATGAACTGTACTCAGTTGATGTTCAGTCCTAATTTCTATCCCCATTTCTGACATGCTCAGTTTCCATCTGAAGTCAGTCTGTCTGTCCTCAGCTCCCTGAACCTCCAGAAGAAACAGTTCTCTCTGACTCAAGTTTCTACCCATTATTTACACAGAAATTCACCATCCAGCTCTTCCTGGTTTTTCTCTGAGGGTAGATTCATCCCTGCCTCCTCAACTAATGCTCATAGTTTCCAGAGGGCCAACTATGTCCCAACCATCCCATGACATTTCAATTTAGTTAAGATTCTCCGTCCATGCTTCACTACTAGAATGTCCTTTAGTCCTGAGTTTTTCTCTTTTTGTCTTCTTATAGAAATAGCTAAAGTTTCCTCCCAGGGCCAGTTAAAATGTTGTTCTTCTCTCAGCTGCCTTCATTAGAATGTCTTATTTAATTTTGGCTACATTCACTAATTCTAAAAATAGTGCCCTTACTTAACACCCCATTAAGTAAATTCCCTTAGACACATACACCCTTTAAATGAAAACAGGTATATTTAAGTCGGAAAAAGTCATTCGTTTTCCCCACACTGTCATATTGCTTGCATAAACCTGGACAAACTTGCCATCTCTCACAGTAGTTTGCATCAGAATCTTTGCCTCATTCATCCCAGGCAGACGAATCCCCCAATCTCACATCTTCTGTACACCATGTGAAATGCTACACAAGACGATGTGTGTGTGCAAATGAATGTGTCTGTATGTATAACAGCACAGAAAGTCAGGTACTAATTTGACCAAAACTAGAAATCTTGTGATACCAACATTTACTTTTTATTTCATATAAAAATAGTGTTACTCCACACTGGAACCTGGCATCAGGATTTCTTATTTCAGTGCTTTCTTGTGGTTCACTCTGCAGCTTCTTTCCTTAATACAACACTCACACCCAGGGAATGCTCAAAGCTAGCGTGGCAACGGTACCTTCCCTATAACAATGTCACCTTCCCTCACCCACAGACTGAGCGTGGAGGGAGAAGCGACACCCCTCCTGATCCTCTGAAACCTTTCAAATGCTTTCCTGTAACTGGTGGTGAACTCACTGGCCTGCAATTTTCTGGTGTTACTGGTTTCTTACATTGCCATTTTCTATTCTTTGGGGATATGGCCTGTATAAAGTCGGCTTTTGAAAATGTCAACAAAAGCTTTTCTCTGTTCGGCTTCGTTTCTTCCCTGCTCTCATTTCTTGGGAGGCACCGTGAATGCCCTCTTGGCACCTTGTCGATTTCCTAAGCAGCTAACCTTTCAATAATGATATTAATGCTGCTGTGTGGTAATCTGTGCATTTCTCACTTCGTTTTCAACCGTTGCTTGCTGAGATTCATTTGTGTTGTTGTGTTCTTAAGATTCTGGAATTTGAGTGCAACCTGACTAGGGACCCAGAGCCAAAATTTCTAGCTAATAAATGAGAAACAATCTTAATAAGTGGAAATTTCTTTCTAATTGATTGAATTTCCAATAGCTAGCTATACTTTGAATTTGGCCTAGAAAAAGAGATACAGATAATTATAAACTTTTTAAAAGTCTCATTTAATATTTTCTATTTCAAAATCCTCCCTATTTGGAAGAAAGTTTTCAAATAATGTTAGTCTTCTCTGGCTGGGATTACAATGTGGATGCCTCTGCGGTTATGTGTTGATGTGGGCTATCATCCTAAAAGACCACAGGAGAACTAATTGGGGGCACAGGCTCTGAAGCCAGACTAAGCATGTTCACAACCCACCTCTGCCACATTTTACCTGTGTCCTTGGGCAGTTCACTTAAAATATCAAGTTTCTAATTTCTAAGATGGTTATATTCATGCCTATCTTATTATATTTAAGTGAGAAAATACATTAGCATTATTAGCATTATTTTTCTTCTTTAGTCTTCTGAATCTTTTCACTATTTAACATTCTTGCATTCCCAAGTTGCTTTCCTGAATGAAATGTTTCTAACAACCTATCTCTCCGTTTTGATTGTATTACATAAACTTTGTTTATAATATCTCAGATGGATAATTTCTTCTTGCCATAAAGATCTGAGAAATAATTGGATTGTCTGACTGTAGATCTCTTTCTGTAGAGAAGGTCAAGGGGATTCAAATAACAGATTGCTGCCTTCATTAAGACCTCTTACCCTTCATGGTTCAAACTGGCATCAGGGATTCAGTCTGATACTCCCATTAGACAGATGCAGATCTGGAATCAAATTTGATTACACATGTAGCTGAGGGTTAACACGGTTATTTGATTATCCAAGATCCTTCTCAGTGATTCTTCTTTCTGGGACTCCTTCACAAATCTTAAAGGAGCAAGTTAAACACCATCCATTTAGACATTCAACAATCATTTATTTGGAAATATAATGGCACAGAAGGGAAAGTATCACCAGAGGCACATTTTCGAGACTGAAAAATCCAAGTAGGAGAGGCTCCATCTTTGCAGAGGATGTGAATAGCACCTATTAGATTAGGCAGCTTTTCTTCTCTATACTTAAGTAGCACCCAGCAACTCAACTCAGCAATTGTCCTTCAGACTATAAACAGCCAGGGAGGATGTTTTCAAAATTAGCATTGAGGAGGTTGTCCCTTATCCTTCCTTCAATAGTGGAAGAAAGGGAAGAATTCATCCTATCACACCTTCTTGATTCCCAAGAGACAATCTTTTTTGTCATTTCTATCCCTGTTCTTATTGTGTTGCTGTTATGTCACTTGACATTTTTCTCCCTCAGATTCCTCATTTACAAAATGGAAATAATGATGCCCATGTCTACCTGGTCACAGAAATACCCTTGTGATTAATAAGGGTACCAGGACAACAGTCAATGCAGGACATTAGAGAAAGATTCTACAAGAGATATTTGTATATAATTTATATTAATTGCATAAAGCAGAGTTACCAGAAAGTCTGGGAATAAGATTCATTTTGTATCTAACTGCTGCGTCAGTACTATTTGCAGAGTAGTCTAGATTATCTTTCTCTAACTGAAGGTGAAAGGTTTTGTAGTTACCAAATGATGTGGGAAACAGCATAGTCCATTTCTGAAAGATGTACTGTTTCTTCAGCCAGCATGGAGGAAAAAGCATGCAAGCACAGAATGATTAGAACTCTTTAATCCTGGAGGGATGGTGTTTGTATCAATTATGTTTCAAGCCTTGTATGTGAAGAACTGTATTCTTAGTCACTAAACCCTCATTTAATGGCTTTAGCGACCTACAGAAAGTTAGTGAAAAGCATGCCTGGTGCCACAGATGAAATAGTGTTAGGGCATTGACGATGTCTGCCTTCTTTTCTTTTGGGAGGGAAATCCCCCTTCTAGATTCTTAAAATAGCAGTTGGCTTTCATTAAATCTACTCAGAGTTAAGGGTCTGGGGATCATGACTGACCTTTTTCTTTGGGAATGGAGCACATTTTAATAAGCTTTCTCCTGCCCATGGTCTCTGAAAGACTTAGCCTCTGGCAGGCCCTTGAATTGCAGGGTTTTATAAAGAAAAGGATTGATTACAGGCTTCAAATTCTTTCTCTTTCTTTAATTCCTTTTTTTTTTTTTTTCTTTTCATACAAAGAATGTGAAAGATATTCTGAGTCTTCTTCTATTGAGATACGGGTGGCCTTACAGGCAGACATTTAGCATTGAACTTTTATTAATCTTCTGTGAGTTTGACAAAGTTTCTTCTTTTTTGCTTCCTAAATATCAGTGAGGCTAAAGAGCTGTTACTTGCCCAGCTTGTTCTTCAGCACTGAAAGAGCCAGAGAGAAAAAGAGTTTTGTTGTTCTTGTTTTGTTTTTTGGCTTTCTTGGTGGAACTGCACCTATAACCTCCATCTGAAAAGCTTCATTTAGTACAGGTCTTAACACATGCTGTTCCCTCAGACACAAACATTCGCCCTGCCTTACCTCTCCCTTCTTCTCTGTGCCCCTCCTCACGCTTCCTCCAAAAAGCTTTCCTTCTAACTCCTGTCTATCCCAATGCTTCCTTCAGGAAGCCCTCCTATATGTTCCCACAGCACATCATACTCTTGCTTATTTCAGGACAGCACTTCTCACGCTGTTGAATTTGTTCATGAGCTTGAGTGTGTTCCCACTACACACTAAGCTTAATCCCTACAGAAGCTGTGGATGTTTCACCATTTTATTCCCAGTGCTTTGCACAGTGACTGGGCCCTAATAAAAATTTAGTTAATATTTGTCAGATGCATGAATGAATTAATATAATTCAAGGAACATAAGATTAACATATATTAATGTTTCTTTATGCCAGGGATTGAACTCAATGCTTCACAGACATCATCTAATTAAATATTTGTAACTTTATATGAAGGCATTTTTAAACACATAATGACAGAAAAAGGCTTAAAGAGGCTTAGAAAATTATCAAGGTGATAAAGCTGGTAAGTTACAGACTAAGGTTATTACCCATACTGTATAGTCAGCTAATCCAAAATATAGGGATATATGGTCATTTAGCCTCACAAAACATGAGCAGCACTGACTGAAGAGCAATGCAATGTATTTATCAGATTGCTTTACCAAGGGGCTGTACTTTCTAGAATTCATAGCTGAAATGAGAAGGGAGTTCTCACTTAATATTGAACAATTTTGTGACATTTAGTCGTATAAAAGTCATTCTTTTGCTCAATTAAGACTGCTATTCCACAAGACACTTATCTGGCTATTTTGTGTTATAGGTAATTATCTGCATGCTAGTCACTAAGGCTGTCCAAAAAAAAAAGTAAAACAGTGAGAAAGGGAAAGACAATCAGTTGTTTGACTGATCTGATTTTCTGTTTTATTCAGGTGAAAAGTTAGATAAATAAACTGATTTTGCAGTGTAGCTATAGCCCAAGACTATCTGATGATTTTGAAAAAAGAAATAAAATACAATCCCCTGAAATTCTAGTGATTTCCAGTCACTACTGACCATGTAGATTTGAACCAATACTTGCTTTCTCTAAACCAATTGATTTTCCTTCTCACAGGCAACATTTTTATTTTCTAACCTGCAGCATTTCTATGCCTGACTGGAATATTTTTGCATTTGATTAATGTTTTCATTTGACTTTCAATGAGGTCTCGAAACAGTTTGGCTTGTCACAGTCAAATTATTTAAATGTTCCTCTGAAAAGAGTATGTGGGAACTAAAATCAGATTCATGTGAACCTGAAAAAACAGTGGCAACATTTCCTGAACTTGTTAAATTTTTTGTCTAAATTAATCATTTCACAATTTTGTTTCATGTTGATGTTCAGCTTCTTAAATATAGTGATTATTGGATTCCTTAATGGAAAGCTTTTCATTTTTAGCTGACCCAGAAGTTGGTCTCTGATAAGGATTTTTATTACCTTTTTAAGTATTCCTTATGGTTTCAACAGCACCAATATATTATGCCTTCTATTCATATTAGTAAAAATTATTTTGATTTCTCTAAACTATCCTTTTCACTTCTCAGCTACTCCTTACTCCTCCTAATTGATCAGAATTATCTCAACTATGGGTTCAAATATGGTCAACATTCTCTGCCTTCATTCCGCTTATGCCCTGTGAAAGAAAGTAAACATAAAATAGTACATACCATATTATCCCACTTATATATAATTTTAGAAATTGCAAACTAATCAGTGGAGTTGAAATGAAGATTAATGTTTTCTTAGGGCTGGGGAATAAGAAAGGAGTTGATTGCAAGAGGGACAATGAATCTTTTGGGGGTGACAGAAATATTTTGTGTCTTGATTGAGATATTGGCTTCACAGGAGTATATAACTAATAAAACTCATCAAATTGTAGTCTTTAAGTAAATGTGCTTCTTCCTTCTAATGTGGATACAAATAAATTGCCTGACATGTGTGATAAATACAAAAAATGAAATTCTTGAAAAGACATATGCAAAGTAATGTGAACTGACACCTTTCCAATCATGAACAAAGGTATTTGTCCTTTCTAAAACCTGAAAAAGGAGAAATAATCATCTGCCAGATAATTTCATCAAGGGTATCAAAAACAATTCCAGCTAAAGGAGAAAACTCAACCTAAATAAACTGGAAGTAAAAAAGGTTTACTGGCCGTGCGCGGTGGCTCACGCCTGTAATCCCAGCACTTTGGGAGGCCGAGGCGGGTGGATCAAAAGGTCGAGATCAAGACCATCCTGGTCAACATGGTGAAACCCCGTCTCCACTAAAAATACAAAAAATTAGCTAGGCATGGTGGCGTGTGCCTGTGATTCCAGCTACTCAGGAGGCTGAGGCAGGAGAATTGCCTTAACCCAGGAGGCAGAGGTTGCAGTGAGCCGAGATCGTGCCATTGCACTCCAGCCTGGGTAACAAGAGCGAAACTCCGTCTCCAAAAAAAGAAAGAAAGAAAAAAAAAGATTTACTATGATGGACTGATGAATACAAATCTGTATCACACTGAGGTTAAGGTAGCTGTCCACAAAGTCCAAGCACCATAAACACTGACAGGAAGGAAAATGAGAGAGTGCCTTTGAGACTGTGCACTTACTTTCTATTCTTGTAGGTTCTGATCTGATGCAGAAGATATTCAGTGACAGAAACTACTCCTTAACCAAATAGGAAAGTGCATACATTGGATAGCAAAAGAAAGGCCTAGAGTATTTACATATCTGATAGGGCTTGGTTGTGTTCCCACCCAAATCTCATCTTGAATTGTAGCTCCCATAATCCCTATGTGTCATGGGAGGGACCCAGTGGGAGGTAATTGAATCATGGGGGTGGGTCTTTCCCATGCTATCCCCATGATAGTAAGTTTCATGAAATCTAATGATTTTATAAAGGGGAGTTCCCCTGTACATGCTCTCTTGCCTGCCGCCATGTAAGATATGACTTTGCTCCTCATTTGCCTTCTGCTGTGATTGTGAGGCCTCTAGCCACATGGAACTGTGAGTCAGTTAAGCCTCTTTCCTTTATAAATTGCTCAATATTGGGCATGTCTTTATTACCAGCGTGAGAACAAACCAATACATCATCAAACAACTGGTAGATTGAAGACTTTAGACCTATTCAGTACTAAAAACAGGCAGATACAGCTTCTAAAAAGAAAAAATATCTACCCTAAAATCATTCCATTTATTCAGAGTAATGTGTTACTAGATATGCAGCATTGAAATGTGGAACACGGGGGTGCAGCTAGAATGGGTTTTCCTTTATAAAATATCCACATCTATGGAATCTAATGAAACTTGATATTGTAACTTGGAAATAAATACGAAAAATTAATTAATTTACAATCAAGTTCAAGAAAGAAAATATAAATAATATAATTCTTGTTTAATAAATATAAAATCAGACGTCTTCCAAATTCAAATTGTCAGGCACTTTTACCTAGTCTCAACAAGAGGAAATTATACATCAAATAACTGGTCTGTGAAAAATACTTCCTTTTGCACTCTGATCTAAGGTCAACTAAGCCCCAATTCAGAAAGTTGGATTGGACAGTTTAAAATTAGTTGACAGAAAGAAATTAGTGTGAATTTTAAAGCTTAAAAATGAACACGATTAAGGTATTTGTGATAAACTAAATCATCCCTTGAGGACTATAAGTGACTCACAAAAATATAGTTCACATGGATCTTATTTCGGCAGCAGTTCACTTTGCTAACCTTAACTGTACACCAAGGATATGTACTCATTGTCAGGACAAGGAAGGCTTGGGCATTTCAGAAAGACGTTTGTTTACTTGTAAATGTTATAATTTCTATAGACAGGCTACATAGGATGTACTATCTGTATGCATTCTTATTATTTGGCAAATACATTTCACAGATAGTTCTTGCTGAAAGGAAGCTATAATCATATAACTTCTACTCCTACCTTTGTTCAAATGACTCAACAATTGAACAATATAAACAACTTACGATGTGTGCTTCTGATTTTGTTTCACATTCTTTATTTTGAGTGTTTGATTAGTGAAGTGCCATAGAAATCATATTTTTGTCAAATGTTTGTATAATCAGCAAGAATACACAGCTTTATACATAAGAAGTTCCTGCTCTGAAGACTGAGATTCATTGCTAGAATTTGTTTCAAAAAGAGAACCATTTGGACTTCCCAAATTGAAGCCCTTATCTCAAAAGTTGGGCCTGTCTTGCCCAAAAAAGCTTTCAGTATTACTTCTTATAAAGGAAGTTACCGTGGATTTTGGTCAACCATACAAAGACTAGGAATCAAGATGACAGTTTTAAGAATAATGGAAAATGAAAGAGAATCTGTAACCAAAGTATAGCAGAAAGACTATGCACTTTGAAGTCAGAGATATTGGGGCTTACTCCCAGCTCTGCCACTTCAAAACACTGCAATGATTAACAAGTTATTTCTAAACATCAATTTCTTCATTATAAAATAGGGACAGTATCTGCCTCATAGTGTTTTAAAATAACTAGCAGTGTCTGGCACACAGTAGATATACAATAAATGTTAGGTTCTTGGTCTCTTTATCTTAAATGGTTCTAGAAATAACTTGTTTTAATGTATGTTTATTAAGGTACCAACTCTCAGATCTTTGTTACAAGTAAGTTTCAAATAATACATTTAAAGAACACTTAATAATTCCTATCTGTCTTCTCACTCTCTACTGAACAAATATTATTCCTCTTGATGGTCACAATATGCTTTGTTTAACTCCACTAATCATCATGAGAAATAGCAAGAAAGAAAGGAGGAGGAAGAAGAGGAGGAAAATGCAGATGCAATGGCAATTCAAAGAAAGTAATAGTTCAAGGTCAATATTAAAAATATACCTTACCATGGTGAAACCCTGTCTCTACTAAAAATACAAAAAGTAGCCAGGCGTGGTGGCTCGTGCCTATAATCCCAGCTACTCAGGAGGCTGCAGCAGGGGAATCACTTGAACCCAGGAGGCGGAGGTTGCAGTGAGCCGAGATTGCCTCATTGCACATTCCAGCCTGGGTGACAGAGCAAGACTCTGTATCCAAAAAAGAAAAATAGTCAAACCATAGCTAATCATTCTCCCTCTCCTCATCTCATCCACAACATCAGACTTTGCCTTATCTCAGCCACCTGAGATCTGGTTAGATATAAAGGAAATATTGGGCCACCATAAATAATTTGTAGGTGGAAAATTGAGAATTGACATGATCCTACTTTTAATTATACATTTATTTATTTTGGCATAGACTTCCTGTCTTATCTGAAAAATATAACAAGGAAAACAATTCTCATATTTGAATGTTTTCATGATATTTTATATTTATTTTTATTTTTTGATTCTTGAAAAATGTACCATCAAACCACAGATACAGGATCTCATACTAACCTTCCATACTGCCAGAGTAACATATCTCAGGAATGTCTCCTCGCCTCCAGGTTTCAAATCAGACAAGAAATAGTTGGGAAGTCCAGGACAGTACAGGAACTTATTTCTAGGAATTCTTGTCCACAATCTATGACATTCACGTGCTGCCTACAACAGATAGCTAACACCAATATTTAACCATCCTCGAAGCAGCCATGCAACTTACAGTACTTTGTTGGATGGAGAGAGCATGCCCCCACCTCAGTATCTGTTAACTTCAAGGGAATGGACCAAGATACAAGACTCTCTGGCACTGTTATTGAGAATAGCTTAGTACAGGAGCATTTGCCATAGGTCAGCAAGAAATTAAAATAGCACAAGCTGGAAGTAATGAGGGTTAGATCTGAGACAGAAGCCATGAGAAAGCAAAGGAATCTAAAGATTATAGATCTATGGTAGAGGTGAAATTGACTGGATCAGGTAACCGATCCCAAGTAAGAGTGGGAAGAAGAAAAAAATGGAAAGATGTCAGTATTTCAGCCTAGTTGGCAAGGTAAGATGCAGTGTTACTGAAACATACTGGTAATGAAGGGGTGATAGAAAATAAAATAGAACTTTAGCAAAAGCCACATGTATGGCCTAAGGACCTTTTTTGAGTTGAAATCTTACTTTGAATAAGATAGTACACTATTGAGATGTTTAAACAAGAGAGGAACATAATCTGCTTTATTTATTCATTTATTCAACAAATATTTATTGAATATGTACTATATGCCAACTCTTTTTGGACACTGGAGATACTGCACTTGCCAAAACAGAACCTGCCTTTGTGGAGGTTATATTTTATTAGTTTAATTCTAGAATATTCTGAATGTATTGGGGAGAAAAGGCCAAAACTGAAAGCTGCAAGAGCAGCTGGAAATATATGGTGACATTCCAAGTGGCAGATGAAAGTGAGTTGGAATAGAATGGAAACAGTGGAAATGGAGAGAAAGCAATGGATTTGGTGGGTTTTGTTTGCTTGTTCATTTAGGTAGAGTATACTAAGTACATATAGGAGATGAGAGTCAGAGAAGAAATTGGCAGACACAGATGAGATTTTTGAGATGTTATTGGGAAGTAGCTTTTGGCCATTTTAAATTTGAGGTACCTATTAGACATTTAAGAAGAGACCTTCAGAAATCAGTTTGAAATACAAATCTAAGCTCAGAAAGAGACAAAAACTTAAATTATATACTTAAGAATCTTGGCAAATAGATGTCCTTGAAAGCTATGAAGTGAATGAGATCATCTCTGGAGAGAGCAAAGAGAAGAGGACCTAAGCCAGAGAAGTGGGAGCTATCAGAGAAGACTGAGAAGGCCTGAGAAAGAGAACAAAGGAAAGCCAGCAGCAAACGGTGCTATAGGATTTGAGAGGGGAGCATGTTTCAATTAGTCAGAAGTTATCTACTATGTTGAATATACATGATAATTTAAATAAGATGAGCAAAACATACAGATGGTCCTTGATTTGGGATGGTATAGCTTATTATTTTTTGACTTTACAGTAAGTTTATCAGGGTATTGAACGTGCTTTCCACTTAGGATATTTTCCACTTATAATAAGTCTGTCATAAGTGGATAACTGGATTGTAACTGGAGGGAGGCATGGGTCGGGGGGGATTTTAAGGATGGGAGCTACTAGAGCAGGTGTCCATGATGAGGGAATAATCTGGTACAAAGGAAAAGTAGATGTTGCAAAATAGAAGGATCTAATTGTGTGAGCAAAATCCTAGCACTTGGCTCAGGGCCTGGCAGAGATAGGAGCTCAGCATGAGTCTGCTGAATTACAATAAATTACTTAAACCCAGCAGGTAATGGAACTGGGATTTAACTCCTCATCTATGACTCCTGGTTTAGTTCTCAAGTCACTAGACCATGCTGTCCATAGCCCTTAGTCCAGTCTACTTCTCATCTATAAAGTCATTTCTCCCGGGTTCCATCAGTAGCCCTTCTGCTTTAGATGCAGAAACCCCTGATTCAATTTCGTGCAGGAATGGATTTCTCACAAATAAGGATAATCCTCCATTTCATGTCTACTCACTTGGTTGACTTCCTGTTTTCCACACTCTTCCCACAAGAGGCTTTGCAGTTTCTATTTTCTGAGACATTCAAATAAATGTGAGTTGGTATTGTGACCAAATACCTCCTGAAATGCATATTTTTCCCCTTTATCATTTTTGAAACAAATGAATGAATTGCAAAGGAGCTACATTAATGAGATGTTTAATTTGAGGTTTTAATTTTGCAAATGTTGGGAAGCATAATTAAGGTTCAGGCAGTACCATAAGTGTCTTCAGGAATATAAAATAACTGATTTTGCATCTAGAGTTTTTGGGAACATTTTCTGCCTAAACACAAACCACTTATAGCTGTTTTCCTGTGTTCTAAATTCACCTCAGGCACTGTGAAGACACAGAACATGTAGTCCTCATAGAGATGGCAAATAATCAGCACGGCTGTCATCATGACAATTAGCAGAAAGCAATGTGCTGAGAGGAGTGAAGGCATAGGTGAAAAGCAGTGGGCACTGGTTTATATTTATTTTATTCTCATAATTGCAAGGCAGCTTTCTTCAATTTTATTCTATATGCTATCTCAGGTAATTAAATCAGTAGAGAAGGACAGGAATATTGAGTTAGATAGCGATATAGATAGAATAGAAAAGACTTCTGGATAAAAAGATGAGCACAGAAAGGATTTGAAAACTTAATAAACGAAATTATCCTCAAGAATTTTATCTGTATAAGCATACCATATAGTTAAAAGGAAAGAAAGAAAAACTTGCATGGGCCTGGAACATCTATCAAAAAAAGTTAGCTTACTTTATGGGGTAGAGAAAGGGCTACTTGTATTCAAGCACCTGAGATGGCTGTTTCTTTAGCAGACCACCAATGAACTAGAAGTGGAAATTAACTTTCCAGGCAATTTCTATTTCTTATGCTATGTCTAAACATACAACCAGTTTGAAAAAAATAATAAGGTGAGTCAAGCAACAAATGTTTAAAAAATTGCTATTTCTACTTCTTTTTGAATAGTATACAGCAGCATTTTTGGCACCACAGAGTGGTTTTGTGGAAGACAACTTTTCCACAGAAGGTGGGGAAGGTGGGGAGGGGGGCTGATGGGGAGCAAGGCCTGGTGTGGAACGGTTTCTGGATGAAACCGTTCCACCTCAGATCATCGATCATGAGACTTTTGTTCATAAGGACTATGCAACCTAAATGCCTTGCATGAATAGTTCACTGTAGGGTTTGTGCTCCTACGAGAATCTAACGACACTGCTAATCTGACAGGAGGTGGAGCTCAGGCAGTAATGATGACCCGCTTGCCACTCACTTGCTGTGCAGCCCAGTTCCTGCGGTGCAGCCCAGTCCCCAGGCCACAGGTTGGGGACCCCTGTCATACAGCCATGAGATAAAAATAGTAGAACTATATTGATTTGTTGGACTTGTATTAGGTAGGACCATATCAAACTGGCTTTGGTCAAATATTGCCTTTGGTCGAATATTGGTCAACATGATTGCAAATCAACAATATTACTCGGTTCAAGGCAATTCTATCTTTAAGCTAATAGGAAAAAACCTCCTCTTATGATCAAAATCAATCAATATACATTTATTTCATATGCAGGCTGCACCAGATGTTTCAATTCAGTGATAACAAAGCTTTTGGGTGTGACAGTCTCTTTTAGTATTTCAAATTAGGAAGACCTCAAGTAATGCTGTTGAGCTTTTTTTAGAGTTAGTCTCTTTTAGACTATGCTTAACCATGCTTCCCTAAAGTGAATGACTCCTATAAATATTTTTTTATATTTTATTTACTATATGAAGGAAATAATTTATACAGTGGTCCATTTTCAAGACAAGGTGCCTTGAATTGGCTTAGATCAGCAAACTACAGAAGAGACAGTATATACTAGGCTCCTGCTTGGATAGTGGACATCTGCTGGTTGAACCCCACCCTTTTCCCCCTCTTAGTTGCCCTCACCTGAACCAAAGAAGTTTAGTCTGTTCTTATCAGCCTGCCCAGCTACTTAGGTCATAAGTCAAATACTTGAAGAGCCCCTGAGCTAACTAGGATTGCAATGCATTGTGGGCTGCAAAAAAAAAAAATAATAATAATAATGCATCAGAACAACCCTAAAGAAAATATCTAAAGCCCCTATGCAATAACCAATAGGTGACATCCGGCAAGACTGTGACCCCATAGTACTCAGCCTATGAGGAACCAGGAGAGGACCTGCGTACTAGGGCATAAATTGCTTATTTTAACTATTCTGGGGGTGCCTGCCTATTAGACACCCGATCTTGCAAGCCCATCATTAGAAGCCTCACTTTCACTGTTCTCCAGGTCTCTGAGTCCATTCTTTGGATTTGGATGGTTGAGTTTGTTCCTCACAACCTGGTGGAACTCTATGCCTTTGTGGAGTGGGACTCCAGCCAAGAGGGGAGATGTGTCTCACCTGATTTAGGTGGCCTGCCTTGTCTGGGTGTCCCAGCTCCTCACAGAAGCCATAGACAAACTAGAGACTGTTATTCAGGAGACAATGAAAGTGACACAGGGAGAAAAGCAGGTACCACAGCAACCGGGCAACCTCGTGCACAAGCCAGGGCAGAACAATTGGACTGTAAGTCCTGCCTTGGTGATTGGGCAAGTTCGGTGTGTGACTGAGACGTATCCTAGGTATGAAGCAAGTGTGGAGTCCCAATCTGTGGTTCCATTCTCCTGTGAGGGAAATGGCCGGAGATGGATGAATCAATTTTCAGGGTGTGCAAGAAATCTTCAGTGGTGGGGCTGAGTACACAGGGAAAAGCTTAGACACAGAGACTAACCGAAAGTGTGAAATAAGAATTCTAGGCCTAGGGAACAGAGGAAAGAGGGAACTAAAGACACTCCATCTGAAATTCTCCCAGAATTTCACTGGAGAGAATGCTGCAGGTTTGGAGGGATACCCTCAAACCAGGGACAAGGAAAAGCAAAAGACGATAAAGTATTGTTGTTTTATCTGGCCCAAAGAGCCCATTCATCAGCCTTCAGTCTCTTGGCCTAAGTTTGGCTCAGATGAGGACTAGGTGTGCCAATCTTTAATTCCTTATGTGAATAATAAAACCTCATCCTCACGAGAAAAGATAGTGAATGCTCCCCCATAAAGAGGGAGAAAAAGAGCATAGTAAAGAGCCCTCACCCAGTGAAAAACCCTGGGATCCCCTAACATGCTTGCCCAATCCCATACATCTCACAAAGTAGAGGATAGGGAGATCAGGAGGCAACAGGAAGGCCAGAGGAAGAGGAATCTGGGGTTCATGAAGGAGCTAAACCCAATGCTCCTTTAAATCCTTATCCAAGCTTGAGGAAAGAATTAGAATAATGTAAGAGAGACATTGAGAATGTCTCTATTCCTTCTAAACAGCAGATGTCTAACATGTACCCTCTTAGAGAAGTCCCTATGAGACAGAGAGAGGTTGGTTTTGTTAATGCGCCTCTAAAAAGTACTAAGGTTAGGAAATTTATAAAGGAAATGAGACCACTCTTAGAAGATCCCCTCGATTTAGCAGAGCAGCTAGATCAATTGTTAGGACCCAGTTTTTATACTTGGTCTGAGATAATGTCAATCATGAATATTCTGTTTACTGGGGAAGGGAAGGGAATGGATTAGAAGGGCAGCCATGACCATTTGGGAGAGACAACACCCTTCCAGGCTAGGAGTAATGACAGCTGAGTAGAAATCCCCAAATGCAGATCCTGAATGGGATAATAATCACCCCAGAGACTGAGTCCAAATGCAAGAACTTAGGGACCTAATAATTAAAGAGTCCACTCCTAGGACACAGAATGTCTTGAAAGAATTTGAGATCCAACATGAAAAATAGGAGTCTCCCTCTGCATTTCTACAGAGACTTAGGGATCAAATGAGAAAATATTTAGGATTAGATCCTGAGGACTCATTAGGGTAAGGCCCCTTAAAGGTTAATTTTGTGACTAAAAGCTGGCCTGATATTACTAAGATACTGCAAAAGATTGAAGAATGGAAATAGAAACCGATTGAGGAATTACTGAGGGAAGCTCAGAAGGTTTTTGTAAGAAGAGAGAGAAAGAGTTAAGCTGCTGACCCTCAAGGTAGGGGAGAGCTAGCCACGCAGCTGGGGGTGGGAGTTGGCCGCTGAAAGTTGTTGATGAAAGCTGCTGCTGAATCTTTGTCATTTCAGCAGTGCTGTCCATCTTTGCAGATGGACAGAGCGGAGCCAGGGCACACCACAGCTCGGCTCACACACAGAGAGAGAAAGAGGAAGATACTGAGCTTAAGGGAGAAAAGAAACAAGGGATGACAGAGAGACAGAAGAAGAAAACGAGTTAGAGAGAGACTGAAATAGACAGAAATCAAGGAGAGACACAGAAGGTGAGACCAAGGAGAGAGATAATGTAAGAGGAAGAGTACCAGAGGAAGAAAGAGAAAGAGAGAATGGCCATAAAAGACGGGAGACAAGGAGACTAAAGTACAAGTAAGCAGTAGCTGCCATGGCCAAGCTGGTAGAGGAGAGTAGAAAGCTGACCTTCAGTGGGCTCTGGTAGTGAGCACCCTACATTAGGTCAGGAATATATTAAATCAAAGAGCTGGAAGATGGTTGACTGGTTCCCGAATTTTAAAATATAAAGCCATATTACTAGAAAAAGATAATTTGGTCTTAACAACATATACTTATTTGAATCCAGCCAGTTTCTTATGAAAAGGAGAGAAGAATGAGGAGGCATTAGATCATAACTGTTTAGATATCATAGAACATCAAACTAAAGTTAGAGCAGAACTTAAAGAAACTCCACTACCTGATGAGATGAGGCTGTTTGTGGATGTGTCACCCTGAGTGATAGATGGTAAAAGACACAATGGCTATGCTGTCACTGATGGAAACAATCCTTAGGTGAAAAAGGCAGATTACCCAATAACTGGTCAGCCCAAACCTCTGAATTTTGCAGACCCTAAAGCTCCTAGAAAGCCAAGAAGGCACTATATATACTGATTCCAAATATGCCTGTGGAGTAGTAGACACTTTGGAAATATCTGGACAGAGTGAGGCCTAAAAAATAGCAGGGAGAAAGAATTGATATATGGGGAACTAATCAAACAGATTTTAAAACCTCCTGCTTCTGCAGAGGTAGTCATAGTTCCTGTAAATGGCCATCAGAAAGGAAACACTATAGAAGCTGTAGGAAACAGGCTTGCAGGTAAAGCTGCTAAGCAAGCCTTCCTGGAGGAAGAAGTGAAACTGTTTAGCCTAATCCCAGATATCCCTAGGATGGTATTAAGACCCCAATTTTCTAAAGAGGAGAAAGAGCTGAGCAAGATACGGGCCACGCAAACTAAGGATGGGAGGTGGGTGCTCCTTGAAGGAAGAGAAATAAGCAAACCCATAATGAGAGAACTGACGTCCATATGGCATAAAGAAAGATATTTGTGTCTCCAGGCCATGTGTAATGCGATACTCAAGATTTATGGGCAAGAGGGATTTACACCCTTGCTAAATAAGTGTGTGGGGGTTGTATGACCTGCCAGAGAATTAAAAAAAAAAAAAAAGGCATTTAGAAAACAGACTACCAGAAGGAGACCTTCTGGGTTAAGGCCATTTCAAAGCATTCAAGTAGATTTTTCAGAAATGCCCAAAATAGGGAGACTAAACTATCAACTGGCAATGGTAGACTGCCTCTCTGGCTGGGTGGCAGCCTTCTCCCTCCCAACTGCCACTGCTGGGAATGAGGTCAAAATAATTTTAGAACAAATTATACCCAGATTTTGCCTGATAGAAAATATTGATTCAGACAATGGGAGCCACTTTACCTTGAGAGTGCTAGAAGGAATTATGTAAGGTTCACATATTAGATGGGATTTCTATACCCTATGGAATCTCCTCTCTTCTGAAAAGCAAACTGCTAAACTAATCTTAGAAACTAAAGGCCAGATGTGCTGGCTCACACCTATAATTCCAGCACTTTGGGAGGCTGAGGCAGGTAGATTACCTGAGGTCAGGAGTTTGAGACCAGCCTGGCCAACATGACTGAAACTCCCTCTCTACTAAAAATACAAAACATTAGCTGGGAGTGATGGCAGGTGCCTGTAATCCCAGGTACCTGGGAGGCTTAGGCAGGAGGATCACTTGAACCCAAGAGGTAGACATTGCAGTGAGCCCAGATCATGCCATTGCACTCCAGCCTGGGCAAAAAGAGCAAAACCCCATTTCAAAACAGAAAAAAAAAAAAAGAAAAAAAAAAAGAAAAGGAAACTAAAACACCTTGGACCAAATGTCTCCCAATAGCACTCCTTAGTATTAGGATAACCCCAAGGAAAGACTTGGGATTTTCCCCTTACAAGTTATTATATGGACTCCTGTATTTAGGTAGGACTACTGTCCTTCCTAGTGTGGAAGCCAAAGACCAATTTTTAAGAAGTGATATACTGGACATATCCTCCATCCTGTCATCCCTTAGATTGAAAGGACTCCTGACTCAAACCCATCTCTTGAGTTCCTGGTTCACCACTTTCAGCCTAGTGACTCAGTGCTAATTAAGACCTGAAGAGAAGACAAGCTCCCCCCAAGCTAGGAAGGTCCCTATCAAGTGCTCCTGATCACTGAGACAGCCGTATGAACAGCTGGATGAGAGGTGGACACATTACATTCAGGTTGAGAGACTGGTCAAAGAATCCCCAAAAGGAAGGGAAAAGGATGAATAGGAAGTTCATAGATCACCTAAGGAACCCTTAATACTAGCTCTAAGGCAAACCCAAAAGAAAGCTATGGGCAGGCTCTGTCACTGGGGATGGATGTGGTTAGGATTAATCCTACTACCAAGGGTGAGAGGGTTCACAATTATTGGATGGAGCCTAGCAGAAAAAGAATATCCAATCAAACTAATAGTCAACATAACTCCCCAGACCATAAAATTTGATGCCTGTCAAGCCTTACATTGTGGGAATTTAGGGAGCCAAAGGCAGCTGTCACAAGCAAAGAAATATCTATGTCCTAAAACAGGTCTCTACTGGGGAAAGCCCTGTGCTAGCTGGAATGAAGTCTAGTGGGCCACCCAATTTCAAGGCTGGGTGAGCCATTATTCCAAAAACAAACCCATAAAGAAAATACATTTGTATAAGAACCCTATGCCACCTGACTGTAGAAATTTAGAATGTAATTTTATATTAATTACCATAAACAGCCCAGCTACTTTAGATCAGGAACCTTGCAGCCTCAGAGGTATGGATTAGGAATAGATATCTGAGGAAGGGATCCCGTGGATTGGTTAGCTTTTAGGCTAGTCAACAACTCCACCCGAGCCCACCAAGGATTACTAAAACTCCCAGTCCCACTACTTCCTTTAATCTACCATACAATGACCCTAAGAGAGTAGAAATAATTAGGTATCTGACTTTAGAAATTGAGACTGGATATGGGGATGTAAATGCCTATGTTACATGGGCCAAATTTTCGATAGTAGCTCTTTTTTTTTGAGACGGAGTCTTGCTCAGCTGCCCAGCCTGGAGTGCAGTGACATGATCTCGGCTCCCTGCAACCTGCCCCTCTGGAGTTCAAGCGATTCTTCTGCCTCAACCTTACGAGTAGCTGGGATTACAGGCACACATCATCATGTCAGGCTAATTTTTCTATTTTTAGTAGAAATGGGGCTTCACCATATTGGCCAGGCTGGTTTTGAACTCTTGACCTTGTGATCTGCCCACCTCGGCCTCTCAAAGTGCTGGGATTACAGGCATAAGCCACCATGCCTGGCCACTAGCTCTTAATAAGAGCAACTGTTATGCATGCTTTGCTGGATGGCCTGAGGCACAGGTGGTTCCATTTCCCCTACGATGGGATACCAATCCCACCCAAATGTGTTGCATGTTGGCTCTATACTAGGACAGGGATGCATGGTGAAATGAGACTTGCAAAAATCTATTACTACTTTTTCCCACCTTGCAGAGATCAGACCCTGGAGCAATTGCCTTGTTCTCCGTGGGGCATATGAACCATTCCTTTTGCCTCTCTAAGGGGTGGGCAGAGTTCAATAATCTCGTGAGAGAATTTTCAACTTGTACCCACATCCTAAACATTACTGGTGAGTCAAACAAAGGCAACTACTCAGCTCTTCATATACCCTTGGCTGAGTTCTGGTGGTATTGTGGAAAGAGGAGTCTCCATGACCTACTACCATCCAATTGGACTGGGACGTCTTCCTTAGTTCTGTTGGCCATTTCATTCACTCAGGCATTCCATAAGATCCCTGAGAATCCACATGGCCACCAAAGTTGGAGAGATCTAACAAACTCTTTTGATCTCAACATTTATGTTGACTCAATAGGAGTCCCTAGAGGAGAACTTAATGAATGTAAGATCCAAAACCAAGTGTCTGCTGGGTTTGAATCAGCACTCTTCTGGTGGTCAACTATTAATTAAAATGTGTATTGGATAAATGACATATATTACAATCAACAAAGATTCATCAACTATATTGGAGATGCTCTCAAAGGAGTGACTAGCCAGTTAGATGCCACCAGCTGAATGGTCTGGGAGAACAGACTTGCACTAGACATGATCTTAGCAGAGAAAAGCGGCATATATGTCATGCTGGGTAGAAAGTGTTTCACTTTCGTTCCTAACAATACTGCTCCAGATGGAACCATCACAAAGGCATTCCAAGGGTTAACAACCTTAACCAATGAATTGGAGGAACATGCCAGAATTGATGGCCCATTTACTGACTGGCTAGAGTATTGGTTCAGGAAATGAAAGGAATGGTAGCCTCCATTCTGACATCCCTTGTAACAGGAGCTGGAGTCTTAACCGCTGTAGCATGTTGCATTATCCCCTGTTAGAGAGTTAACCCCAACATTAATCAAAATACCTATCAACAAACAAATGCCCATAACATATCAAATATTATTAGAAACTAAATCAGATCTACTCTCTTATAATGAAAAGAGTCAACAGCTCTTGAAACAATTTGAGAACCAAAGCATTCAAAAATAAATGTGGAAATGGGACCAATCAGAGTAAAAAGAACAAAAGGAGAGAATTAAAGGAAATGATGTATACAGTGGTCCATTTCCAAGACAAAGTGCCTTGAATTGGCTTAGGTCAGCAAACTACAGAAGAAACAGGTAGTACTAGCCCCCTGCATGGATAGCTGCGCCTGCTCTTGAAAATTAATCATATATATACCATTGAAAATTAATGGTATATATGTGTGACATGTATATATTTAGTCTCTAATTTAGACAAATCTTAATGCAAATTTGGATTGTTAGACTATTAAATGACCTTTTCAAGTTGCAAATGGCAGAAAACCCATTCAAACTGGGTTAAGCAAAACAGAAATGATTTTCTCTTACATAACTGAAAAATTGGGAGTAGGTGTCATTTAAGCATATCTAGATGTAGGATTTCAAGTGATATATTTAAAATTGGTTCTCTCTCCATCTCTAAGCATTTTTTTTCTTATTGGTTTTATTATTGTTGGCTTTGTTCTTAATCCGCATCTGGTGACCTGATGGGTACTTTTGTGGTGTGGAAAGTGGTCTTGTATTTCCACATTACCAACACCAACACATGTCTTAGAAGTGTTTATCTTTGGCTCTGATTGCCCTAGCTTTGGCGTCATGCTTATTCCTAAACGAGTACTAGAGAGAGGAGGTTCTGATTGGCTGGACAACTCATAAACCACTCCTGGAATCCTAGATATATGTGGACCTGATTAACTAATAGCATAGAGGGAGACTCCCCAAGGAAAAATCAAAAAGTGTGAGCGCATGCTGAATAGACAAAAATAACAGTTTACCAACTGTGTAATTGCCAAGCAGTAACACCGTGGCCACCCAAGGGACTATGGCACATGGGTTGGTCTTCAATGCTGTAAAGACCATATGATGAAAGGGGTGCATCCTTACCTTGTTTTTGCATCCTTACCTTGTTCTTGCAGTTAATTGGTCTGTTCATATATTCAGCAAGAATCGATTTAGAATATACTCTATAGTATGTTTGCATGAGGGGATTCAAATTTAACTTAGATGTAGTTTCTGTTCTTAAAGAGCTTAAACCTAGTAGGAAAGCAAAATTGCCAGATATTATACCAAGCATTGTGAAAGTACAGAGGAAAATGTAACTACTCTGCACGGAGAATGGGAAAGGATTCAAAGCCACCATGATACTTGAGCTGGGACTTGAAGGAATAGGAATTTCCAGCTAGAGCAAAAATAAATTAAATTAAATCAAATCAAAAAGCAGCGACAGAAACAAGTCAAGATAAGTTGATGCTTAATTGGGACACTTAAACTCTATTGCTGTATGAGTTGAGAGAGGAAGATACTTGAGGATCAAGAGGGAAATTTCGAGTGCTGACACATACCACAGACACAAATACCATTGGGCTGAGTAAGGTCAGGAGCAATTTAAAGCATTTATAAGAGTTTAGAGAAAAATTCTATACAACATCTCAGACCACTGTTTGTGCAATTTTTCTTAAGAGCTATTTAGCAGGAGAGAAGTCAATTAAAATGGATAGAATAAAGGGGTTTGCTAAGGCCTTTTAATG